GAGGCTCCCAAAGCCGCTCAGAGCCTCGGGGGAGCCTCCAGGACACCGGGAGCAGCTCCGGGGCCGCTCCGGTCGCTGCCGGCCCGGGAGGGGAAGGAGGCGGCGGCCCCGGAGCGCGGCCCGGCAGCGGCGGCAGCGCCCGCCCGGCAGCGCCGCGGTCAAAATAAGAGTCCCCGGGCCTGGGGACCCGCCCCCGCCCGCTCCATCCCCTCCGAGCAGCCTCTCCCTCCGCTTGGCAGCAGCAGTTTATTAATTAATTAAATAACCGACCCACCCAGACACCCCCCTGCGCACCGGCAGGGCCGTGGCAGCGTCCCCGCGGAGCCCCCGGCGCGGCCCCTGCGGTGCCTCCCGCTCGGTGGAGACACAGAGGGGCCCCGAGGGTCGCATCGCTGCCGGGGCATGAGCTGAGGCTCGGAGGAAGGTGGTGGCGGGATGGGGGTCCTCTCCCTGGGATCCCCCCGGGATGTGGAGACTGCTCCCCGCACAAAGAGCCACCTCTGGAAACCTCTGCTCCAGCAAGGGCCGGGGTCAGCCTGGACATTGCCAAGTCCCGCACTGGGGATGCCCAGCATCACCCACCCTGCACTGGGGATGCATCACCCGTCCCGCACTGGGGATGCCCCATTTGGGATGTTGGGAATTCCCTCCCTTCATCCCTGCTCCAACAAACCAGACCCGGCACGCCGGGGTGGCACCGGGACAGGGATGAGGGCAGTGAGAGAGGCCGGACGCGCTCAGTTCAGGTTCTGGTGGCTCCACTCCAGCATTTGCTGCAGCTCTGTCTTTCCCAGATGGACATGGGGGCACTGGGACAAACCTCCCCAAGCCATCAGGGAGCGGAGAGGCTCCCAAAAAAAAAGTCGAAATAACCAGGAACACACAGAGCTTTTGCAGCCCATCACCACCGGCCACGGCTTTTGTCCACCTCAAACCCATCCTGAGCGAAGGGCAGCGGGGCGAGGACGGGCTGTGCTGGACCAGAACTCCCTGTTTTCTGGAGCAGCTGCTGGGAGCCGGGGCAGGGCTCGGGGCTCGGGGCTCGGCCGGGCAGCCGGAGCCGCCTCGCAGCCGTGCGAGCTCCAGCCGGGCGGACATCGCCCTCTCCTGCCCGAGCCGGGCGAGCGGAGCCGCAGCTCCACATCCTGGGATCGCTGCCAGCAGGAAGAGCTCAACCCCCGCGCCCCGGCGCTTCCTCCGGCCGCAGCCGCGTCCTTCCAGCGGCACCTGCCCAAGGAGCTGCGGCGGGGAGGATTTAGGCTGGAGCTCAGGGCAAGGTTCTTCCCCCAGAGGGTGCTGGGCACTGCCCAGGCTCCCCAGGGAATGGGCACGGCCCCGAGGCTGCCAGAGCTCCAGGAGCGTTTGGACAGCGCTGCCAGGGATGGACAGGCTGGGATTGTTGGGGGGTCTGGACAGGGTTGGGATGGATGATCTTTGTGGCTCCGTTCCAGCTCAGGATATTCCATTCTGTGATTCACCATGGGCGAAAGCAACACCTCCTTCAGCCCACCAGGGTCTTCCCATCCCAGCCATTCCCCTGCCGAGCCGGAGGAGCCGTGGCTTTGCTTTACCCTCGGCTCTAAACCAACTTCCAGGCTGCAGCTGCAGTGGGGATGCCTCCACTGCCAGTCCTGAACCACTTCTCACCGTCAGGTCTCAGCATCCAGACAGCTGAGGTATCATTTATAATCATCACATACCCAGAGCAAAACACCCATGGTCTTAAAAAAGATCATCTTTATTTACATTTTTCCAGTTCTTTACATTTGGGCGGTTAAAACCCAGGACAAAAATACACCCCAGAAGCCGTGGTAAACATGGAAAACTGCGAGTTTACATTTCAAAACCCAGTTATAAATTGCACAGAAGTCTTAGGTTGTACAGAGCCATCACAAATTGTTGTATAAAACTCCAAAATCTGTAAAGAGAACCACAGGAATAAAGAATTACAGCCACAAGTAGTGGTACAAGAAAGGGCACAAGTTTTGAGCCCTTTGAGGGTTTTACCCCACCAGTCTCTCTTGGGGAGGTGGGATGGGACTTTCCTGCTGCAGATAGTTGGAAATATTTTAAAATATAGAATAAAACCCAAATGGAGCCTAGAACACCCTGTATCTCCTGTCTTGTGCTGGCTCAACAGGAAAACATCTTAGTAGAAAATATATTTTTACAAAACTTCTGGAAGTTCAGTGGAAAGGTAAAACAGAATCATTGTCCAAAAGAAGCAAGAGCCTTTGCATCCCCTGACTCCCCTTTCCCCATCTCCAGCAGGCAGTGGGACAGCAGATGCCAAAGCAGAGTTTAGTTTAGGACACAAACAACACTGAAAAAGCCAAAGATACAGAGGTGGAACACCTGGAGAGCAGGACAAGAAGAAAACGATGAAGGACATAAAAGCAGCAGGAAGGGAAAAAAACCCAAACAAACTGATGATATTTTTGGTATTTTCCATTGAACACTGAGTTTGGAAACAATTAACTCACAAGCTTCTCTCGTGCTTCACTGCTCCCCCTCCCTATTTCAATCAAACTCAAAAACAATTGCTTCAAAAATCTGAGCCAGGAATTTGAATGAATCCCTGCATGCTAAAGTTCTTTACCCAGAGCTGTGATCAGGGCTTTTTTCCTCTTTTTTTCCTCTTTTTTTCCTCTTTATTTCAGCGTTCAGCAAGAGGAGGGAGGGATGACCAAGAGCCTAAAGGAGCTCCCCAAGACTTCAAGAGGTGGAAGCCAGAGAGGCTGTGGAAAGAGGACAGAGGGATTGACCCTCTCTGGAGAGAATGAGAAACTCAGATCCAAATCCTGGGTTTGCCCCAATGTGCTCATCCAAAGCCCTCCCCAAGGAGCTGCTGACAGTGCCCTGGGGCCACCCCTGCAGGGATTCAAGGAGAGCTGGACTAACCCCTCCATTTCAAAGGGCTCCATAAAACATCAGCAAGGCTCCTTGTGTCAGGCTTCCCTTCCCTGCACAGCCTGGCACAGGCAGGGCGGGGCAGGAGGGTTGGAAAACACTGATTGTCACTGGTTATGTCAATTCTCTCACACAACGAGGCTGCTCAGAGACAGCCCTGCGGTGATGGCTGGGCAGGACTGAGAGAGCCCCTGCACAGCATCCAAAAGGATAAACCATGCTGAGCTCCAGCTCCAGCTCCTTCCTGCTCCCTCCACAGCAGCCAGTGGTGATGGACACTCCTCACCAGCCAAGAGTGTTCCCATTTGCTCCCTGCTTTGCAAAGGGGACTCTGTGCACAGCAAGAGGTCCCAAGGACCAGTTTGTAGCAAATATAATTTGGGAGAGCAAGCTGAGGTGCACAGGAGCACTGCAGACACTCAGGGCACAGCACGGGCTGGGTGAGGGCTCCCTCCTCCACAGCCTCCACCATGGATGGGACATTCCCAAAGCAAAGGTGGAACAAGGAGGAGAGATGCTGCCTGAGTCTGGAAAAACAGCCCAGTGAATCTGGCCACAGCAACCAAAGAGCAATCCCATTTTCCAGCCGAGGAACATGGGCTGGACACACCACCAGCAGCCCAGCCCCGGGATGGAAAAGGAGCCGGGAGAGCAGTCCTGGACCCAGCCCTGTCTGCCTCTCCCAGAGCCTGGCTGGGTCAGGAGCCTGCAGCCCAACCCAGCAGCCCCAGAAGCATTGGCACTTGGAATTTTTCCAGAGGTGTGGAAGGGATTTGGGTTCAAGGATAAGTACAGCCAACAGCAAGGAAGGCCATGGGAGCTGCAGACAGAGCCAGGCAAGTTCAGCCAAATGGGAGGAAGAGGAAGAGCACTGGGGAAGAGCTGTACCTGCCTTTGAACCATTGTGGATGAATGCTGCACATGGCAGGCCAGGCCACCTGGCAAAGGAGAATCTGGATCATGGAAGCTGGGCAGAAGCATGAGCTGAGAAGAGAATGAAGAAGGATCTTTGTGTCTGAGACACAGATCTCACCCCAGGCTACCTGCAGTGACAACATTTAGGCAACACCTGCATGCTTCAGACATGGAATCATCAGTGAGGTAGTGGGGAGGAGCCTTCTTTCACCTTTAATAAGTTTATTCCAAATGGCTCTTTCAGAAAGGGCTGGGGCTGGTGCCCATCTTCAGCCCATCCAGCCAGACCTTGGCTGTGCCATCTCCATCCTCCTAAAGGCAGAGTCTGCTCTCCCCTTCCTCCCCACCAGCCCACCCCTGCCAGCAGTGAGCACTGCCCAGGACTCTGGGCCACTTGGACAAATCCTGGCTTCAGGACACAGGGCCTGGGAAGCAGCAGTGCAGTGGCTGCTCTCTCCAGAGCCAAGCCCATGTGGTGCCAAATTCCCTCCAGCCATGTGGAATTATGAGCCTGGCACTGTGGTCAGGCCACACCGTGTTTGTTTTCCCCAAGCTGCCTTGGCAGAGTTCACCACTCTTCCTGGTGAGAGCAAACAAACCTCAGTTCATTTTGTAAGAAATCAGCAAGGTGCATTCTTGGATTTGGCATGAACAGGCACATGGATCAGCATCAGAAATGGATGAAAAAGCACAGCATTTCTCGTAGAATAATTTATTAAATACAGCATTAAAATTTGTATTTCTGAATTCAATCATTAAAAACAACTTCATCTCATATATATATATATATTTATATATATTCAGGGACAATGACAATCACTCTATCAGCATTGGTGCATGTTGTGCCAGCACTGCTCAGAACGGCACCTTCGCTACACTACCCTTAAAGCAGTTCAATGCTTAAAAAAAAATAAAATAAAAAAGCATTTGCAAAGAAAGAGTGCAAAGCAGGGCCTGTCCCAGCTGCCTGAGGGTTGTGCAGAGGTGGCTGAGCAGGGAGGCAGCAGCTGGAGATGCTCCTAAAGGTCTGTCAGGTCCTGCCTGCCCAGCCTGGGGCTGTGTGGGGACCAGCTCTGGAGGCCACAACTGCAGCCTGGCTGGGCACCTGTGGCTCTGAAGGACGTGGTTTATGGTTTCCTCAGCTTGGGCAGTCAGTGTTAAACAAGCTAAACAAGGTGTGTGAGGGGAAAAAAGCACAAAAGAAAAATTGCAAGAAAACTCAGCTTGTTCCCCCAATTGTCAGGTGCAGCAGAGACTGTGGATGAGCACAGCAGCTCCCACACGGTTTGTGTCCATTGCCACATTCTGCTCAGGCTCAGGGGACACACAGCAAACCAGTGGCACAACAGGCCCAGCCCAGCACCCCTGTGGCTGCCTGGGCAGGGATGGCCACTCCCAGGAGAGCCCCACGGAGAGTGGGCCCAGAGGATCCCACGGGCAGGGCCCCTGGGCAGACTCAGAGGTAGCATCAGACAGACTTTTGTGATTGATGGTCACATAACTCCAGCCTGGGAGGAGAGGGCACCCGGCAGGGGTGGGAGATGGGACATGGAGTGTGGTCTCCCTGCTGGCAGAGTGACCAGTGCTGTCATCCTGTGTGCCAGGGCCCAGCAGTGAGTAAGGGTGGGGAAAAGCCACTCCTGCTGGAAAAGGGCACCTCATGGAACACCAGGATCTTCCCCAGAGCTCACCAGGCCTTCTCAGCCCTCCTGTGCCCATGGCCACTCACACTGCCAGTCACTCTCCTCATAGCTCAGGTACAGTGAGGCCTTGTGCTTTTGGCTTTTTTGAAAGTCCTTCCGAACCTGCTTACTCCAAGAAACCTCCTGCTACCCTTAGGACCTCTGAGGACAAGAAGGATGGGCTGTCAAGACCATTTGTGGAGAGCACATGGCCCCTAAAAGAGGAGAGAAAATCCACACAGCCCAGCCTTCCCCTAGAGTGGAGCCGTGCCAAGACAGGAGTTTCAGATAAGGCATCGCAGGTGCTTTGATAGTAAAGCAGTTAGTGTTGACTACAGTACTGAACAGGCTGCTGCCCAGGGCACCCAGGGCCACATCCAGCCCTCCAGCACTTGGTGCAGCAGCAGGAGACAGCTCAGTTTCCCAGACCTCTCCTACAGGCATGCAGGCTGCTCTGGCTGCCCTTTTTGGTTTTTTACCCCCTCCCTAGAAAGAGACTTAAAAAGCCCAGGCTGGGATGTGGCAGTTCCCCCCCCAAAGCAGCCAGAGAGACAAGAGATGCCTTGTGCTGTACCAGACTTTGCCCCAGGCGGGTGCCCCGTGGTGCCAGGGTGGGCAGCGCCGGCGGGCTCGGAACAGGGGAGGGCTAATTGCCATTGCTGATGCTGGAGTTGGCACTGCTGCAGCTCTGCTCGTAGGATGGAGGTGCCTCTGTGGGGGAAAGGAACAATGGTTATGGTGGGCATTTAGGAGGTTTCCTTCACCCCAGTGTGTGTCACCCAGTGCAGAGTGAAGCAACCCACCAATACACACTCCCTGCCCAGCTGAGGTACATGGGGTTTGGAGGATTTGAGCCAGCCAGTCCCATCCCTGCCCTGATGCCCAGGGAAGTTTAAACCACCTCACAGTCCTGTTCTGATTCTCCTTTCTTTCCCAAGCATCTTCTTGTCATCCACCACCTCCAGACCACCCATGCTCTGTGTGCCCCAACCCAGGGCTAAAGTAACACATGGAGTGTTCTGTTAGCCCAGTGAAAAGAGAGGGGTTGATTTGGGCAGGACTGTGCTAGCACACACTGCTGGCCCTGCCCTAACCCTAACCCAACACAACCCCAGGAATCCAGCACACACTGCTGGTCCTGCCACCCCAGCACAGATGCAGGAATCCAGCACGCTGGGATTTCCCCGAGCTGCTCCACCCCGGACATTTTCTCAGCTCCCACCCCCGCAGCTTCAGACCAGCTGCAGGCCCACTCCAAGTCAGACAGAAGATTTCAGTGACATCATTTTCCTGGCTCTGCTCCCACCAGCCTCACCACAAGCCAAGAAGTTTTTCTATCAGTGGGAAGCTGAAAGCTCGGATAAGAACAGGGAGATCCTCTCATGATGAGCCCAGGACAGGCATGGGCGTGGATGTGGGAAGGACAGCTGGCTTTTAGAGCTGGAAGAGGGGACTCCTCCAGAGGCTAAAGCAGGCAGAGAGATGTCACGATCCCCTCTGACAGCAGCCTGCAGCAGACTGACTGAATCCCAGATTCCCAGCAGTTCACAGCTAGCAGACACTGCTGGCAGGAGCCGTTTCTCCCCAGCTGCAGATCCTGGGAGTGCTGCTCACCATAGGGGTATCCCCACGTGCTGTACTCCGGGGGCAGGATGAGCGAGCTGGCTGTGGGGACAGGCACCACGTTGCCCTCAGCGTAGTAGGGGACAGTGGCTCCCGTGGACAGGCAGAGTGTGGGGTGGTTTGGGGAGCCCGTCTGCTCCGAGTCCGCCCGGATCTCCTGGAAGCTCAGTCCTGGGGCGTAGCTAAAGGGCTGCTGCTGGGAATGGCTTTTGGTGGGGATGGAGACATTGTCCATGGGGTGATAGCCACTGGCAGCCTCCTCTTCCTCTGGGGGGGCACTGGGGACCACCACAGATGGGATGTGCTGGATGGAGCGGGACGGGCTCAGCGGGACCCTGTTGACAGCAATGTTTCCAATGTAGATGGGGAGAGTGACAGAAACCTCTGGAGACTTGAGGGAAACCTGGAAGAGAAAGGAAAACAGTAGCATCCTCATTATACCTTATTGGATCCCAGAAACCTGGGGGTTTTTGAACTTTCTGTGCTTTCTGGCACTGACCCCCTGGAGAACACTGCTTTTGACCTAAGGCCTTGGAGAAGGCTCCAAATTTGAGTGATGGAGTTAAAGTCACAGGCGTGCAGTTAAATACAAGTGTGTGATTTCACTTGGTAAAGGGTTTTAAATTTGAGGTTTCTATAATATAGTAATAAGTATGGGACCAAAGAGAAGATTTTAGGTGGTGTCTCCTTTCGGTGATCTTCCTTCTTCATGGTTTCAGGCAGTAGTTTCTGGTTGATAGTGCTGCACTGCAGGTCACAGGAGTTTGGTTATCGGGTCAAAAGTATAAATAATAATATAGGTGTTAATTCTCTATTAGACTGTTTAACTTTAAGAGACCTTGTAGCTAGCTGGATTCATCTCCATTTTGCTTGCTTCTAGGTAGTAGCTAGGAGTGTTGCTAAAGTTCCTGTACTTTAAATAAAATTTAATAAACAACTAAGCCCAAACACAAGAGAATTAATTTCCTTCGTGTGTTTTTTAATCCCGGCTCTGAGTAAAAACAAAAAAAAACAAACTTCAAATAAGCCACTAATTAAGTGGTGCAAACCATCAGCCCAATGCAATACACGGCAGTGGGAAGGTTCACCTGATGTCTGGAGCACCCACACCACATTGCTTAGCCTGGGATGGGGGCAAGAGCTGCAGCCCAGCCCAGTGATACTCCAGATAAACTCACCTGGATATAGTAGTCGATGTGGATGAGGCTGCAGCCCTGCAGAATGGATTGGGGCAGTGCTGGAACCAGGATCTGCTCCTTCCATTCTGCATGTTTCCAGGCTTTCACCCCTGAGCCTTCCACCTCGGCGATGGTCCTCAGGTCGTAAATCCAGCGCTTGGATTTATAGGCCACTTTCTGCACAGACAGGAGGAAACACAGCTTGCACAGAGCCTGCAGCTGCTCTTCAGTCTCCCACAAATGTAAGCCAGGACACAAACCCCCCCAGTTGTTTTGTCAAACAGGCACAAGCACCAACCTAATGGGCATGTTCCAGAGCAGGAATACTCGTTGCTGTGTGACAGACTGAGCAGGGATAAGCAAGACAAACTCTAGGTCCTCTTTCCTCAGGAAGGTAGAGAGGAACAGAGCTGGAGATTTGGCCTCCTTGCCCCAGTTTCACAGAGGCCTCCATGGGGTGGAGCAGCAGCACAAGCCAGAGAATGGCCCCACTGGAACCCACCTGGAGCAGACTGGCCACCACAGCGCCGGTGTCGCGGCCGGACTTGTTCTCTATGTCTGTGCGGAGCTGGATGGCCTGGCCCACGACGTAGCCCTTCAGATCAGATGTGGCTGTCAGGATGATGTTGCCACTTTTCACAAGCTTGTAGTTGAACTTCTTGGTGATGGACATGGTGTTGGGCTGCTGCAGGACAGCAGAGACAGAGGTGTTGGCTCAAGAGAGTCAGAGAGCCTCCAGGAAAACACTCAAGAGATTCAAAACAACAAAGCACAAATATTTGCATCTAAGAGGATGCAAAGAACCAGCAATATGGCAATGCCACAGACAGCAGGCCTCACTTCTCCAGCCCCACAGTTCTACCATCCTATTAACTGCTTTCCCCTCCAAAGCAAGTTCCCCAAACCCAAGTGTCTCCAAGCACCTGAAACTGTTGGCCAACATGTCTCTCTGCATGCTGAAAATCCAGATCAATCTTCCAAAGCAACACACAAAAGTCAGAAATCACCTGGAGCAGGTAGTGACAGCAAGGCAGGAGAGGAGTCCTTGTCCTGCCCTTGCATAGTCATAGCACACAGCGTTTTCCAGCCACTCAATGACTCCTCAGACAGCAGGACAAGGACAAGTCTGAAGTGTTGGCATTTCCCAGCCATGCCCCTCCTCGTTCTTACCTCGATGTCAGGGATGTCATTCAGGTTGAGAGGGCAGAGAACATAGAAGATCTTGTTGCATTTGTAGTCCTTGGAGAAGCGAGGTGTGTCTATCACGGCTTTCACCTGATGCAGGACCTTGCCAAAAGGGCCTTCAAATGATGTAGGAGCAGAAGCTGGAGTTGAGAGAGAAAGAACAGAGCATAAGGCTGAGTCAGGCCAGTTTCTGAACTGGAAGTATATGCAAAAAACAAGGCTTACAGGGAAGGGCCTTCAGCCACTTTTCTGCATCTTACCTGGCAGCAGGAACTGGAAGGGAAAGTTGTGCTCTCCAGCTGTCAGGACCCCTGTGGGAACAAGAGTGAAGTGAAGTGAAGTACATGGGACAGGCAGAGAGGCTGTTACCTTGGAGTGTGTGACCTTCTGGAAGAGAGAGGCCACCACCCAGGGACTCACACACCACCTGTTATGCTGCCTACAGCCACTGGACAGCTCTAGATCTGATGGGCAGTGCTTGAGCAAGGAGTACTTGCTGCCACCCACCCCTCCTTGGGACAGGAGAGCTTCTGCACTAAGATATCCTGTAAATAAGGTCATTTGGGGCAGGCTCTAAGGGATCCCAGTGCCACAGCAAATGCTTATCCCAGGCTATCAACACAGGGCATGCAGCAGGGCTGCTGTGGGTTTATTTTTCCTCAAGTCTTCCCCCTGTCAGGAGGAATGTGAGAGATCACAGGCACTGTCTGAGGCTGGTAGGGAGTTCTGGTGGACATCAAGCCACTCCACCCTCAGCCACATATCAAGCCCTTCACAGACTGCACAGGGTTCAGGAGCTGAAACCAGAGGTCCACCCACCCCTGGACCCAAGAAGGGACCTGCAATACCTCAGCCTGGCTGCTGAGACAATAGGAGCTCAGAAAAATATTGCCACAATATTAAAACCTCAGCAGTCGTTTTCTTCAACCGCTGCTCTGAAACAGCCTCGAGGGCAGAGCCAAGATCCAGTGCATGGCTCAAACAACAGAGTCCAGCTCCCCAGCTCCATCCACCTCCCAGCACTCCCAGATTAACTCCAGGGCAGTGTGACAGCTGAACTGAACCTGTGGATCACAGTGTGATCCACCAGCTCCTAAAGTTGCCTTCAGTAAGAAAACCACTGAGGTTTATCCATATTTGTTAAATCCATGTATACACGAGAGGTTTTGTTTTTGAAGTGGCAGAGCTGAGAGAAGATCTGCATGCCCAGTAAATCGAGCTGTGTTTGTTCTGCTTTGTAGGATCATTGCTGGAGGTACAAAAGCCCAGATCTGGCTGGTGCTTTTGTTGTTGCAAGGCAGGAGGAGGCAGCTTGCCCGTTAGCAACGCTGGCTCTGCAGAGCTGACAGAAAGCAAGTCCTGTCGTCAGGGGATTAAGAGGATTACATGGAAGGGGGAGGTGGGGAAGAGAAGAGTAAACCCCCCCCCACTGACACAGCAACCCAGGCAGGACTTGGGGCAACATTCATGCCATGAAAAGCTAGATCTCTGCCTCTCTGCTCACTCAGCCACCCCATGGGGACCAAGGACACCCCAGTGAGTGTGTCAGGGTACAGGGACAGCAGGATAAATAATCCAATGCACACCTCATCACAGATCCCTGCAAAGGGAGAAAATCCTCCTGCAATTGGGAGAACATCAGAAATGTCTATTTATACATTTTGGCCTCACAGAGAGGAGCAAGGTTTGCTCATTGCCATCACCTCCCTGCTGATTCCCCTCCCATCCCCTAAACAAACCCGAATTATGTAGGCTAAAATGCAGCACCCGGCGCTGTCACCAGGTGGAGGCACCAAGCCAGGAGCTGCCCTCGCTGCCAGGCCTGAAGCTCCAGAGCTGGGCAGGCTCGGAGGCAGGTGTGGGACAGCCCCTCCTGTTCCCTCCTGGGCAGCCTGGCTCGGTAAAGGTGCCAGGTGAGGTGCAGCAGGTGCCTTGGCTGGTTGGGTCCAGGATAAAGCTTGGTTAATATGAATGACTCGATGAACTCAGCCCTTGTTTGCTGCCCTGAGGGTTTCTGTCTTTTAATGGGCACCATTCAACATTGATCTTATACCCATTATCCCTACTTTCAGAAAGCAAATGGATAACTGGAATACATCGACTGTCCTGTGCAGCTTCTGCATTGCAGTACAGGGACTCTCCACCTGATGAGGACTGGGAACAAGTCCTGTTCCTGCCCTGCAGAAGGGAGAGAGGTGGGAGCTCCAGAGGGTAGTAGTCACTGAGTTTCCACCAAGAGAATCCTCAACTCTGCGACCTGCAGAGCCCCACATGAAGGTGCAGGCAGTAATTCTGAGTCTCCTGCTAGGAGCATGAAACTTCACAGCCTTTCCAGGACCCTCAGGAAGAGCCCACATGCTCCACGAAGTAAAAGTCCCTATTCTACATTACAGGCAGCACCATCCAACAAGTCATTTCTGTCCAAGTCCTGCCCAGCTCAGGTGCACCAACAGAAAGTCGGGCTGGAAGTGAACCTGTGAGCCCTTTCACAGTTTCTAACTCTCAGCACTGAGCAAGGCCATGAACTCTCCCAGGAACACACGTGGGCAGCATCACCTGCAGAGGATGTGGTTTGGCTGTCATCACCACTGTGTGACTGGCTACCACTGAGGCAATTTCTGCACAGGTAGTCCAAGCTTTGAGCAGGTCACCAGATGGGAACTGCCCACAGGTCAGCCTAGACGAGCCTGATGGTCCTGACCAAACCCAGGTGCCCAGTGCCCTGCTGGCTGTGACCCACTGAACAGCCTGCAAATCCCTCCTGCAGCTCCTGCCTGCAACAAGCTGACCATGAAGGCTGGGAAAGGCCTTTCCTGCTCTTTGCAGCCAGGGAGGAGCTCCCAGACCAGCCACCCCAGAATGAAGCTGTGTCCTGTCACAGTTCACACCAAGGGCAGCCCCTGGCTCATAGCCACAGAGCCCTGACCCCAGTCCTGAGCTGAGCAGGGAGCCAGGGAAGCACAGTGAGCCCTGTTCTCCATTCCACGGAGCAGGGAGATGCTGCAGGTGACTGGGAACAACTCTTGTTTTCAGACCTGCTCCTTCCAGCCCACTCTCTCCTTCCCCCTAAGAGAGAGAAGCATCTTTAGGCATCCTCAGTATCCCAAAGTGGGCATTCCAAGGCACCCACTGCTGCAGAAGGGAGTTCAGCGCCAGGGCTATTTCACAGAAAAGGGTTAACAAAATTAAGATGAAGAAAAGCCAATGGCCCTGACCGAGATAGGAGACTCCTGTGAAAGCACAGGCATGATCCAGAGTGCCTGGCAGAGTGAGAAGGTGCAGAGCCCCCAGGTGAGCTCGGGTCCTGCCTGCCTCCCAGTGCACCAGGAGGAAAGGTGGATATTTAGCAGCAATCTGGGCTCCTCCAGCACAGACACAGCAAAGGCTCCATTTGCAACTTGCAATTACAAAACCATTTCTGTCTTCTGCCTGCTATCTGGTGGAAAGCTGGCAAATCCCAAGCCAAGCACCCTTACAGTAGAGGAAGGGAGGTGGCAACTGCTTCTAAACTCTCCAGCTGGCAACTTTGATCCAAAAGGCTGAGCTTCCATTCCCAAATGCTGACTAATCTTGCTATAATAAGGAAAATCTGCAATTTCCCTTGTCCCAGCCTCCCTGTGAGCATGGGCACAGACTGACCTGGAGCCAACACCCAGGTACTTCTGCCATGGAAAACAGGAGCAAATATCACCTCAGCTCCCTGCAAGGGACACTTGCAGTGTCAGGACGGTACAGTCACTGTGCTGGTGACATAGGGCAATGTGTGTCTCACTAGGCTTTGCTGAGCCTTGAACAGATCCCCAGATCACAGCAGGGGAGATGCAGCATCAGGCAGAGTGTCCAGAGCCATCCCACAGCTGCATCTGCTATGCAATTCCAGCATCCCAGCAGCAAGGGGAACACACAGCCCATGGGAAGACACTCATTGTCCTGTCCCTCCAGCCCAGAGAGCTTCAAGTGACAATCCAGGACATTTAACGTGCTCATTTCATTTCCAAGTGGACTTTGCAACAGAGACCACTGTTGGCAGCAGGCAGAGGTGAGCTGGTTTCCAGCCATGGTGGGGGCCTGTGGCATCCCAACAGCTGGGAAGAGCAGCCCTTCCCGTGCTCCTCCAGAACCAGAGGCTTTGCCAAAGCACTCCCCAGCCTGGGCAGGGCACAGCAGGTCAGCAGGAGTTCAGCACTGCTCGAGGGGGGCATTGAGACCCCTCAAACAGGGGCTCCTGGGCAGCTCACAGACCAGTGTGAGGGGACAGGGCTGTGCCAGCCACCACAGCCACACTGAGCCAGCACCTCCCCGTTCTCAGAAGCCAGAACAAAGGCCACAGTGTCTTCGGCTGCAAAAAAGCTCTTCCTGAAGTTTATATGCAGCTAAAAATACCTTGAGAAAGTCATTAGGCAGCAGGCTCAGCAGGGTTCTGCTGTGGGGCCATACCTGCAGCAGCCTTTCCCCTGATAGGAGTCCAGCCAGCAGAGATTGGCCACCCCCGCACAGCCTTGGGAAACTTCCTCCCAAAAAATTCCTGGAGGGAAAGAAGCTGCTGCCCCAGAGCCTGGAAAAAAACCTCAAGTGCAGATAGCAAGAGCAGCAACAACAAACTACTAGTGCAGAAGAACCTTGAAGATTTCCCTGTCTCCAGCGGAGATATGTCTGGTCTTTCTCATTCTTGGCTCAGCTGCTCCCCTCTGCTCCACACTGGGACTGGGGCTGTTCACTTGTACCATTAGATGTCGAGGAGTCCTGGAATATTTCAGTCACAGAAAAGAAACTACTTGATCCAGAGGGTTGATGCCAAGTCTTCTGGATCCCCTGGTGATACTGTGCTGCCATCCAGAGAGACCTTGCCAGGTTGAAGGGGCTGGGCCTGTGAGAACCTTGGGAAGTTTGACAAGGACAAGTGCAAGGTCCTGCCCCTGGGTCAGAGCCATCCCAAGCACAAACACAGGCTGGTAATAGAATGGATGGAGAAAAGTCCTGAGGAGAAGGGCTTGGGAAGTTGGTGGGTGAGAAGTGTGCCCCAGCCCTGTGTGCTGGCCCCAGAAACCCTCCATGCCCTGGGCTGATCCTGCAGCAGGAAAGGGGAGATTCAGTGCCTCTGCCCTGGGCTCAGGTGAGACCCCACCTGCAGAGCTGCCCCAGCCCTGGAACCAGCACAGGAAGGACCTGGAGCTGCTGGAGAGATCCAGAGGAGGCTCCTGAGATGCTCCAAAGCTGGAGCCCCTCTGCTCTGGAGCCAGGCTGGGAGAGCTGGGGGTGCTCACCTGGAGAGGAGAAGGATCCCGGGAGAGCTCAGAGCCCCTGCCAGGGC